CAATCCCTTCTCCTCCATTCTCCTCTCAGAATCTTGGGCATGCATGCACACGTGCCCAGCATGAGTTTAGCCACCAGGTCCGGGACTTGAACTGCAATCGACTACATGAGAGTCTAGCGACATAGCCATTATGCCAACTGCTAGTCCTAATCCAAGCAGTTTCTTAAAGGGGACAATCTTATTTTTTTCCTCTGAAATATTTCAAAGTGTTTCTGGGGAGGCAGGAGGGAAGAAAAGGGTCAGCTTTCTAAATGAAGTTATATAGGATAGTCTATCAAAAGTAAAAAACAAACTCCGATATATGACTAGCCCTGGATTAAAAAATACACACAGAAGACACATCACCACTCTGCGAAGCCTAGCAAGGAAAGGGCACCATGCTGGTGAGGAGGGTCCGCAGCCATGGCACTGTGTGCGGGAGGATGCAGCACCTTGATGTCTCACTCCTCCTTGGAGTCCCTGCTGTCCCAGAGGCTAGGGAGGAGGGGACAGGGTCACAGTCCAGACCAGGCCCAGGAGGCACCCTCTTCTCTCTCTGCGCCTCTGTGCAGGGTTCTGCTCCCCACTAAACACTCAGGGCTCTGCCAGGCACTGTGCCTGAGCTGGCAAGCTGACTTCCAGGACAGGCCTCTTTCCACTTTTCTTGAATCTCACCATTTCTTGCCTTTGTTTAGGGCCTCGCAGCCCTTTCTGAGTGAGTTCTCTCCATTGGTCACTTTATATTTCTCCCTCCATTTCCGCCTTACCTTTATCTCGTACTCCTCCCTCATCTTTTGTCTCAGTGCTAAGTGGTGGCTGAATCTTGTAAATTGATGGGGAATCTGAAGCAATCAAGGGTCAAGAAGATGATTAAGAGAGATCCAGATTCCATTTTCACCCTGGGCCCCCCAGGCTGAAGTCAGTCTGTACCACCGTGTGCCCCGTGGTGCAAGCCCCCGTGGTACAAGCTTATTGCAACGTGTGGGCAAGCCAGGATTTATGCCTGGGTGACCCCACAGTCACCATCAAGGGTTGGTAACTTGCCCAAAGCCACACAACCAAGAAGAGATTAAAAACTAGGCTCCATTCCAGCTCCGTTTGACTCCAGGTTCTGTTTTTATGGCGTTGTCGTTGTTGTTTTCAGCCTCAGGACCACACCTAGCTTAAAACAGAGTAGTCCTTGTGCTAAATTGTTTGAACTAACATGTCCTAAAAGAGGGACCCACTTCTGGGTAATTTGACCTGAAAGTAAAGATCCCCTGCAAGGGGGAGGATAACCCAAGAGTGAGGAGCATTTTTTTTCCAGATATGAAAATCCAAGAGCTACTATTTTGCTTCAGTGTCCACTCGTTTACTCTCCAGACTCAAGAGTTGTTTTCTGAGTCACGTTCAAAGCTGTGGGTAGGGGGACAGAGCAATTGGGGAGGGCAACAAAGAACCACAGTCCCCACCTTCCAGGAGCATGGCTGCCAACCAGTGCTGCCAGCAGAGCCTCATCGGCGTAGCCAAGGAGAAAGCCAAGGCCTTAAGCGCCGCGTTCGTTTTCCCTTCCTCTTTCCCTTGCAGACCTCGACAGCAGCTCCAAGGAAAAGGCATCATGGCCCACCCCAACCCGCTGTGCCAGATACACGAAGTAAATCTCAAGCTTCAGGCTTCCAACCGAGTGTGGGAAAAAACGGCTTCCATTGTCGGGAAGTTCTGCATGGCCCCTCTGCCCATCAATGACAAGTAAGTGCCAGGATTCGCCCCCGCCCTAGACACACATCAAGGGCCGTCTTGACCTTAGAGGTGATGCTCGTTGAGATGAAATGTCATGGCACTGATTACCATCTTGGAAGCAGAGATGACAAAGACCCAGGGTTTTCCTGAACCTCTGGCAGGGCCATCCTGGGTTGGGGATGTGAGGAAGGAAAGCGAAGACGGCGGGCTTTGATTCCTGATCCCAGCTTCAATATACGAAACTCCAAGTTCTGTTTGCTATATCTGGTTTCTACGTAAGACATTATTGGAACAGTTTCCCTAGGGCATATTTCCTTGCTAGCCCCCACTTCAGATGTGTTATTGGTCATATCCACAAGTGTGGATCTGGAATCCACAGCCCTTTTCCTCTGCCTCGATCAATGTTTATACTATTAGCATAAATGAAGAGTATATCCCCTGGCACCAGGTCAGTGGGAACGGGCTCTACTGTGGATGGCAGTAGACTTCTTTCAACAGACATTATGGGATATAAGAGCCGCACAATCCCTACCCCCCTCCCTGACCAACCATGAATCTGCCCTGTCGTTCCTCTTCTCTTGCAGTGAAAGGACGGTGTGCTTACCCGAGCCAGTGAGCTTACAAACAAGTGTGACTGTTTGTCATGACCTGAAAATAGCCTGTGCGTAGTGTAAGCCTGGGCAGGACACGTCCCCTGGATTTGGTGGGCACAGGAGGTGAGATATGCATGTGTGCAGCGTGTTCTAGAGCACTGCTGTGAGGAAGGAAGGTAAAATCTTTGATTATTTTCTCTGTAATCTGCTATCTTGGAGGGGAGAGCTGACCTTCATTGGAAAATTCATTTGAAAAGCCATACCTAGATCGGTTTTGTCTTTCTTATTCATACGTAACTGCACTTGTGTCATATTCTCAGGCATCCCAGCTGTACTCGGGAGTCAAGAGAAACATATAAATGGAAGCTTTTTAAAAAATTAAATTTCATGCAACATCTGAGTCATTTAATTGTTTTATATGAATGGAATTCTATTATGTACAAAAAAAATGTGATTTACAGTCTATGGGATTGCAGAAAAGAGTAGATGGTAATTCTCTGTATGAAAAGGAAAACAGCAACTGGGGGGACCAGCAGTCAATGTAATGGCTATGTCGCTGGACTCCCACGTAGTCGACTGTGGTTTGTGTCCTGGATCCGGTGGCTTAAACTCACGCCAGGCGTGTGTGCATGTGTGCCCAAGATCCTGAGAGAAGGGATTGCAGCGTGGCCATCCCCCCTGGGGGATGATTTCTCGCTTTCTATCTCTCTCTGTCTTTTTGGCGAGTTCACACGCCCTATAGCAAAAACCTCTCAAAAAAAAAAAAAAAAAGAATTTAAAAAAAAAGAATTTAAAACATCAACTGTAGCCAGCAGGGGGTGTGGAGGTTAAGGGATGGATCCCACATAGCTGACTCCATGGTTAAAGTCCCAGACCCAGAGGCTTAAAAATCATGTCAGGTGTGTGTGCATGTGTGTATCCCAAATCCTCAGAGAGAGGACAATGGAGGAGCAGGGATTGTGGCGTGGCTATCCTCCCTGGGGAAGTGGGGGTGATTTCTCATTCTCCCTCTTTCTCTATCTCTCTCTGGTGAGCACACATGCCAGATAGCAGAACTACATATAAATAAATAAATGTAAAAAACAAGAACAGTAACCGAAAAGAAGTGCTTGGAGCAGGAGAGGGGCTGAATCAGGCAGGGAGGGAGATGATGCCATTCATCCCTCACCATTGTCTCCTCTGGATACCAGGGCGGTTTGGGATATCACTGAGAGCTTTTGGGAATATGGGCAGATTTTCTTAGGGTCAATATTTCCCAAAGTTCGATCTTTGTAAGTAACCTTGTATCAGCCACAGTCGGTGTGTTCTAATTGGGTGATTTGCAGAGAATTTAATACGATAGTCCTTTGTGAGGAAACCACGAGGGCTGGTGGCAAGGGGAAGGGGCACGGGAACCTGTAGGCAGGGGGCACTGCTGACCTATAGTCAAGGGACACAGGCAGGAAAGCAGTCCTGCCAGGAGTGGGTGGGTAGGGAGCCAGGAGCACAAACTCTCCAACTTCACTCTTCTTTCTCTCTCATTCTACAAATGCTCCCCGTAGAGTGACCTGAACAGGAAGCCAGAGAACAAGAAGCACTGATGTGGCCGAAACAGGCCTGGGGCATACAGTAGGCAGAGAGGGTGGAGGTGGGGAACTGAGAGCTAGGGCACACGACTCACCACTTTTCCCATATCCAGGTTCCCCCCAATTCTTCTTTATATGAACTCCTCCCCCACCCCAACCTTTTTAAACAAGCTTAAATGATGAACTTGAAAAGGAAACCACTGATTGCTTATTCACTCTCCACAATAAAGGAGGGAGCATGATGTAAGCAACAGGCTGCAAGGGCTCATGGGACCACGCCAGCCAGGGGCCCAGGAGCTGCTGCAGCCTTTCGTGCAGGCCATGGCAACGCAATGGCAAGGACAGCTGATGCCACGAGAACGCGCACAGAGGTATCTCTGCACTATCGTGGGCCATAGGAGAATAACACATCTGAAAAACACACATTTCCCCAAGTGTAGGCTTGCGATTGCCCATCTTTTCCAAAACCCCAACCCCCTCTTTCTTCTACTACCTCTCTTTATTCCACCCTGGCTCCTGGATAGAATGTCCCCAAAGACAGTCTTACCCTGAGTCGTTCAAGCTACGCTTCATGTCACTGTAACTCAGAGGGTTGTTTGCCATCCTGGGAGACATTGCTTAGCACATACTTCTTCAGTTTTCCCTACTGCTTGTTCCTTTTCTTCCAAGTGCATAAATTCTGTTACGCTTCTATGATCAAAATCATGCTGTGTGGGACCAGCAGTTAGCGTAATGGCTATGTTGCTAGACTCCCACGTAGTCGACCACGGTTTGAGTCCTGGACCCGGTGGCTTCTACGGTTCGAGTCCTGGACCCGGTAGCTTAAACTCATGCCAGGTACGTGTGTGCCAAGATCCCAAGAGGAGAATGGAAGAGAAGGGATTGCAGTGTGGCCATCCCCCCTGGGGGGTGATTTCTCGCTTTCTGTCTCTCTGTCTCTCTGTCTCTTTCTGGCAAGTACACACTCCCTATAGCAAAAACCTCTCCAAAAAAAGAAAAAATATCATGCCGTGTGACGCTAGTGCCAACTGCGCTAAGCAGACCTGAACTTTTTGTCATTGTCCTCGTACTTTTGACCGTAGCCTTGCTTCTTCACTAATATCTTCTTTTAAAGCTCTCATACATTATTTCATTCCTTATTTGAAGCTTTAGATCATTACTTTAACGTAAAAAAAAAGTTTCTCTTATCACAGATGAATCCTAGAGATAAATACAATGAGAACGTGACTATCTTTCCAGGTCCAGGTCCCGCTAGCTAGCGTGGCTTTGCTGTGGACTGTAAGTCTGGACTTGGTGTTTCCATGTTGAAGTGGGAAATAAGCATGAGAGAAATGCTAAGCAATGACCCACACTGAATGGAGATTTTCTTCTGTCTGCAGTCAGTGGACTGAAGGAATACAAGACATGCACAACGCCCTTACTGTGAGAGCTCACGTTATTGAATGCTGGGTCTATGCGGTACCTAAATCATCTCATCCAGGCGTATGCAGCCTATACCCTGGCAAACTGGCTTTAAGTAGGCAGCTATCTCTGGAGACAGGAGGAAGGGAGAGCTAAGCAGGAACTCAGCCCGGCAGCAGAGCTGGGAACTCCCCTCCACAGCCACACTGCTCACAACGTTCTGCTAAGGTCTTTTCACGAACAGAAATTATTGCAGAACTAATTCAATTCCATAGTGAGAGTCACTATCAAGTGCAAGATTCACTATAAAAGTTCCAAAACGATGTGATCTTGCAATAGCCACAGAATAAAAGCACGGTTTGTATGAAGTGCCAGGCACCATTCTGAGTGTTTCACATGTCCTGACCTATCTTATCCTCTCAGTGAGCCTATGACTTTCATGTTATCATTATCCCCACTTTATAAAGAAACTGAGGGTCTGAGGAGCTTTAAAATCACATGGTTAGGTAAGAAAAGGAGCCAGGGTTCAAGTACCAGCTGTCTGGCCCGAGCAAGGAGATGAACCACTACTCCCACCATGCTAAGGAACATGGCTGCCTAAAAATGTGACCAGGGAAGTCCCTCTCAAAGGCGCGCACAAAGCCGCTGTGCAAGACTGGCTGCGTAATTTGCAGGTCCAGTGCAAAATGAAAATGCAGCCTCCTGGTTAAAACGTAAGAATATTAAGATGGTGATACCAGAGCCTGAAACCAAGCGCAGACATTTCTATTATAATCGTGGGGCCCTTACTACCACACAGGTCTTGTTTCCAAGAAGCTGGCCCTGTATCCAGGTGAGCACACTCACGATCTTGTTTGGTTTTTGCTGTAACCCACCTCCACCCTTCAGTCAGCCTCAGGTCATTGGTACACTTGCACCTCGTGTACTCAGGGAGGCCTCTGGCCTTGAACTAGAAATGTCCCCATGTGAGATTGTCTTGAAGAGTGTTGCATTTTACTGCTGCATCAACATCTGACTCCTGCATTCACTGTTGATCTCCCAGGGAGCATTTCAGGCAAATGTGTGTAATGCAGCTGACGGTGAACCTTCAGGTGGCCAAGGAAGAGGGCCGCCAAGGGTGGGGGAAAGTTCGTAAGGTCTTTGAGAGTGGTGCACGCGTTTCTCACAGAAAGTATTCAGAGCTTAGAGAGTATTTCAGCATTGACTGCCAACTGGCTTTCAGGGGAGTGATGATGAAGACACCTCAGCCCTTTCTACACCAGAGGCTGGTGGGAGCTTGGCCCCCACAGACACGGTGTGGTGATAGGTAGGAGAGAAATTATCTCTAGCAGCATCTTAGGGACACCATCCCCAGTTGGTCCCTAGTATCTGGAGCCCAAGATGCCAGGAAGAGATTGGGTTGTGTTGAAGAAGGAGAAAATGAATTCCTGTCATCTTTTTAATAGCTGCAATCTTCACTTTGAGAACAGAGGAAAAACTTTTCACTCCGTTGTCTCACAGCTGTGAGGTTGTATAGCGACTGCAGAGCTGTTAACAGCAAAGTGGACGTGTGTGCTCCTTTATAAAGGTCTGGGCCGATTACTGCAAAGTGGACGTGTGTGCTCCTTTATAAAGGTCTGGGCCGGTTACTGCAAAGTGGACGTGTGTGCTCCTTCATAAAGGTCTGGGCCGGTTACTGCAAAGTGGACGTGTGTGCTCCTTCATAAAGGTCTGGGCCGGTTACTGCAAAGTGGACGTGTGTGCTCCTTCATAAAGGTCTGGGCCGGTTACTGCAAAGTGGACGTGTGTGCGCCTTCATAAACGGCTGGGCCGGTTACTGCAAAGTGGACGTGTGTGCTCCCTCATAAAGGTCTGGGCCGGTTACTGCAAAGTGGACGTGTGTGCTCCTTCATAAAGGTCTGGGCCGGTTACTGCAAAGTGGACGTGTGTGCTCCCTCATAAAGGTCTGGGCCGGTTACTGCAAAGTGGACGTGTGTGCTCCCTCATAAAGGTCTGGGCCGGTTACTGCAAAGTGGACGTGTGTGCTCCCTCATAAAGGTCTGGGCCGGTTACTGCAAAGTGGACGTGTGTGCTCCCTCATAAAGGTCTGGGCCGGTTACTGCGAAGTGGACGTGTGTGCTCCTTTATAAACGTCTGGGCCGGTTACTGCGAAGTGGACGTGTGTGCTCCTTTATAAACGTCTGGGCCGGTTACTGCGAAGTGGACGTGTGTGCTCCTTTATAAAGGTCTGGGCCGGTTACTGCGAAGTGGACGTGTGTGCTCCTTTATAAAGGTCTGGGCCGGTTACTGCGAAGTGGACGTGTGTGCTCCTTTATAAACGTCTGGGCCGGTTACTGCAAAGTGGACGTGTGTGCGCCTTTATAAAGGTCTGGGCCGGTTACTGCAAAGTGGACGTGTGTGCGCCTTTATAAACGTCTGGGCCGGTTACTTCAAGGGAG